CATAAGCAGTACCTACATTTCCTACTTTACAGATACAACTGCTTTCAGGCTGCAAAGGTCAACAGCAAGCTAGACAAACGGCCAGAAGCTCACTCTGACCTGGGCTGGCTTCAAACTCATGACCTCTCGGTCGGTAGTGGTTTTAATGCAGCTGACTCCCAGCCAGTTGCGCCAAAACCCGGTCCAGATTAAAACACTCAAAAGATTAACTGACATTGGTCATACCAGTTTTTCCTGAGAAAGATTAGATTGTTAGATGCCCTAACAATCAGTCTTTTACAACAGACTATCAGTCTTTTACAACAGAGGGCAACTACAGCCCCCCCTTCCTGTTTTGTTTCCAATAACTGTGAACACTCTTGTGCATTTTTGTGCACACATACAATACAATCAAAGAAAAACAGAGAACTATGACATCTGAATCAAAACTGCACCACAATAATCCTTAAATCATTTATATTACATGGGGCTGTGCTATGGGTATGTTATCCATAGAGCTAATAATCAGGCTAGATCACCACTAAGTGTTAACTAGCTCTTCTTTCAGCTGAAAATGCCTTCATGAAACCCTGAACATTTTAAAATGTCAGCAACCTAAAGCTGCTCTGCCTCTAACTGTGTTTTTCCATTTCTCCTTAGGCAAAGAATGAGGACAAAATATATAGATGCCATAGCACACTGCAATCTTCTGCAAATATCTCAGATGAACTAGTAATATCTTTCATTATCACCTTTACCACTGCTATGAATATTACTATTCAGAGTTTCCTTTCTGTTATAGCAGCAAGCATAAACTGACAGCATTAGGGGAAAGTGGAGCATCAAAAGAATACTCTTCATTTAAATAACTTCAGTTTGAGACTTTAAAAAAATGATGCACAGATAAAATACATAAAGGCACAAGGAAATGACAGACATTTTGGGCAAGAAATGTTGACAATGCAACTTCTACCATGGTAAAAGTGACTTTGAAAGAGGTCTCCTTTTTCCAAAAGACAAGCTGAATTGAATATTTGCAGCATAGGCTGAATATGTTGAATTTTTCTGTTCAAATGACCCAATTACTGAGAGAAAGCCTTGCCTGGCTTACGCAAGCTCATAAATAAAATCCGCATGTACAGTGAAATTACTGACATGCAAGTTGTCAGTAGTCTTTCCTCCAAACCATGCCATGCTCTAATTAATTTATTTCATGTGGTTAAGTCATGTGGGTGATTCAGAAATTTCCAGATTTCATTGTGTTAGAATGAGCAAACTCTGAGTGCATATAATCCCTAATTACTATTTTGACTGCCTTTTCTATAGGTTAAGCCCAATCTATGTCATAGTGACTTCTGTTTATTAGTTTTAACTTCCTGAACCTAAGCGTCTTGTGCACTCTCTTCTTGTGCATCTCTCTCTTCTCCATAAAATCATGTGTTTAAGAGTTTTTCCATAAGATGTTGCAGTTTTTCTGATACTATGTAATAATCACTCTTAATTATTTTCTCAAGAAGATGCACCTACATTTGCCTATGCATAAGTATTTGTAAGAAATGCTGCTTTCATGTGTTTTATAAATGGAACTAGGTTTTCTTTTTTTCTGCTAGACCTTGTGTGAGTCAATTAGCATGGAACTGGCAGTTGTTCAGCTTCTGCCTAGCCAATTTGATTACTCTGCTCGAAAGATCCACCATCCCTTACATGTCTCAATACATGGTTGCTTTGGATACAAAAAAAAAGTGTATTGCAGCTATCACTGTCATTTACCCCCAGTAAATGACAGGTTTTGTCTCCTATTGGGTCTAGTTTTTGAGATACTGAACATATGTTATCTACCAATCTCCATTTGCTCACCCATAGAAAATCATGACAACCATGTCTAAGAAAGTAGAGCTGATGTGGTCTATATCCAATGCAATTTTCTGAATCATTGCCCCAAATAACCCCAGGAACAGGCCTAAAAACCAAGACACCCAAAACTTTTTATTGGCCTGTGTTAATACCTTCCAAAGTAAAGAATAATCAAGAAAAAGGAAACATCTGTGTTAATATCCTGAGGTGGGTGAGAAATGGCAGAGGACAGGAGAATAGGGAAGAGTTGTAGCAACAAGAACTTTGCCTATGACTGTGTTAGCACAATTCTAATATTAGTAACATGAACCATTATTAATTGCAATATTAACTGAAGTGGAATTTTTCATGGACTTAACATGGCTCGAGTCACGTTATGGTGCTGCTGAAGCTGAGCAGTCATATACCGAAGGACACTCTGGAATGGAAATCACACACACACACACACACACACATCCCAATCTGAAATTTAAACAAAAAGAATAGAGAAAAATGAAATTCCCACAGAAATTACTGATGTCTGTAATCTTCCATTTCTGGCTGTAATTCCGTGCATGGTTACCTAACAGTGGTTCCTATTAAATCCAATGGGACTTCCTCCTGAAGAGTTAAACACAGGATTGTATTGTCCATGTTCAGCATGAACAGTGTTGTTTAGCTGGTATGAAACTTGTACTTTGGAGCTCTTTAAGTCTCATTATTTTCTCTCTAATGTTGTTTCACAGAAACTGTGGATGGTTATTTAGGCTGTTCTGAATAAAGTTGGGAGTAGAGGAAAAAACTTTTGCTCATTTTGAAGGGATGAAGCTGACATACTTTCTCTGTAGAGTCCCTACTCAAAAACCTTTTTCTGTAAATGTGAAACTGATCAGGGTCTGAAACTATTTGTCTGTTAAATAAAGAGGCTTTCCTAATTCCTTGGAATCCTCATGTCAATTTTAACTGTCCATATACACTAGCAAAATATTAATTATCATCTAGTTCACAATGACAACATTTTGTTTGAAATCTGTATGTAGGACATTAACATTGGCATGTTTCCCAATTCCAAACAACTAAGAAAAATAATTGCTTCACTCATTAAAAGATGAAATGGCAACCATCATTGTTTAATTTCACCTCTACAATGGATGCAACTTCTGTAGACTCATTGCAAAAATAGAAAAATGAATAATTCTTTGTTACTTAAATGAAATCAACACAGAACTTTCTAGTATATTATCCACAGGATGAAATAATAAAGTTTTTGGGCGTGAACCTGGATAAGCACACCTGTCCAAATTCAATGTAAATTCAAAACAGTTCTTGGGGTTTCCTACAATAAATCAGTATCATTGGGCAGAAAACCAAGAAACACTACAAAATTAAAGGGACCTAGATCAGTCTACACCTGCTAATTGTAGAATAGGCAACAGTGAAGGAAAAGCAAAGGAAAAATAATGCCATCTAGACAGGAATGTGAAGCAAGGTTAAAGAGGCGATAATAATAATAATAATAATAATAATAATAATAATAATAATACTTTATTTATATTCTGTCCTTCTAACCCCAAAGGGGACTCAAGGCAGATCACAATACACATACACGGCAAAAATTCAATGCCATTTTGTAAAGACAATACACAGACAGACAGAAGAGAAAAGAGGTGTTGTTTTGACTCAAGTGTCCAGCTATTTTGGTGTCATGGCTGCAGTCCAGCCACAGTATGTGTTGTAGCTCCATCCTCTATGATGAAGAGCCACCAGAACTTTCTCCTTCCTTTTGGTCACCAAGCATTTTCTGATCTTTCTTTACGGCATCGAAAAACATCTCTCCCGCTTTTAGCAGTACCTAATTTCTCTAAGTACAGCTAAAACTGTTTTTGACTGCTTAGGTAAACAGTGAGCAGGGCTGACAGTCAGCAGCTCAAGCTGACCCAGGGCTTCGAACTTGCAACCTTTTGGTTGACAAATCTTATATTTGCTGGTGCAAACCTCCGGCCCTTGTGACATTCATTCAGACATTTTTAAAGTACTGCATATTGCAAGGTCTCACTGAACTCCACTACATCATAATTTCATCGAATGAACATGTTTACCAAACTGTCTGCCATGTGCAACAACCAGATTTCTATCAGATAAATTGCAGGTTGCAAATGGGATCATGTTTCCTCACACCTATCCACTTCAACAGTATGGTGATTTTAAGAATGTCATGTACACAAGGTGCTGAATGCCAAGGCAAGGATTGGAAAACAGTTCAATCAAATAATTAAATTTTATAATTATCCATGGCAGCCCTTGTATCAGCTGAGAAACATATCTCTCTAGTGTTCAGTAATATAGGCTTGTGCAATTTGGCACAAAACTATACAATTTTCAATTCCGTTTTTGGATAACCCCTTATTCTGTTTACCTGGAAATTGCTTGAATTGGGTGGGGGGAGTGTGCCATTTTTCTTCAGCAAAGATTCAGCCCTTAAGCCCTTAAGTCATTTTAATGCCTATCTGCATGAAACCTACCTTGGTTTTATACCCCATTTGCAACTGCAGACCTGCCAAGTTTCAGGACAATTCACCAATCTATCCATTTTTTGGAATTACTGAAAGTGTTTACTGTTTTTTAAAATAAGACAAACCACAAGAGAGGGTTCTGGGAATTGAAGTCACTGGTTGTGTCCATTCTCAGCCAATCAGAACATGGACACAACCAGGGCTTTTATTGGCTGAGAAACATAGAGAGAGAGAGAAACTTAAACGCTCATCATGCTTTGAAAGGAGCTCAGAGGCTTTTCAATGCCCGCCCCACACAAGTGCTGCTGAGAAAACGAGTTACCAGAAGTTTTCCAGAAGAAATGGGCGGTGCTGTTGGGGATACTACAGTTAACCCCGTCACCTCCGGGAGCCCTCATGGCAGACCCCTGTCTCAGGTATACCGCAGTTAACTCCATCATCTCCAGTAGCTGAAAAATCCTGTTCTCTTGGTTTCTTTCAGTTGGCTTTCCAGCTCCCTGCTCCCCCCCCCCCCCCCCCCCCCGGCTCCTGTTTTGGGGGATTTAGCAAACAAATCATCAAATTTTACAAATCACTTTCGGTCCAAACTGATCCAGGCATACCCCTATTGTTTTCTTAAGAAATTCCAGTACAGCATCATTGTTATGTAACTGTGACTTTTGCATCTGTACTTACCATTCTTAGACAGAATAACAGCCAAGTAGTCATGAGAAGAGGCATTGATATAGAAGAGGAGGCTTGGCGCATGTGCTGTCAGGAAAGTAAAGGCAATATTTTCCTTGGAGTTAAAGGTGTCTGCATAAATAGCAGAAGATGTAGAACTTGCATTTTTGGTCACAGGATACGGTTCCTGGATAACATAGGTGATGGAAGTACCAACTTCAAAAAGTGCAGAAATCTCTAAGAATGAAAAGAAAAGGTAAGTAAGCATAAGAAAATTCTGTTGTCCTCTATTAATCTCTTTTCCTCAGTGGTCAACCAGACACTTTGGGAGTCCCCAAAGGAAGACAAATAATTAAAATGCAAGTGTCGGAAAATAGCCATACTCAAAATATAAATCTCTAGAGAAGTTGAGATTTGAAGCTTCAGATTCAACAGGACTTTACTTAATGTGACTGCATATGTGCACATGTATACACACACATACTGCATGTACACTATTTGTCCACAAAAAAATATACTTCATGTACACTATTTGTCCACAAAAGAATCACTACAGCTTAGCAAGAGCACAATATATACCAAGTTGTAGGAGACAGTACCAAGCTTCACTGTTTGGGTAGAACTTTTCTTTGAATGGGGTTTGTCGGTTTTAAAACTAAACTAAACACAAGAAAGCTGCAATTATGGCAAGAAACCATGCTTTGCCATGTGGCTTGACATAACAGTCAATTTTCTCTTTAATACAATATGCTCCTGGGTTGTTTTAATGCTGCTCCATAAGACTTGATGGGCAGGAAATTGGTCTGGCTAAATGTTAGAGGAGAGGGATGCTGGGAGTGTAGGAATCAGAATCACTGATTGTAGATCACATAGATTCATTAGGAATCACACCGAACAAAATGGACAGGTGGGTTTTTGAACAAAGACAAAACCTCAGGTGGTGGTGCTTTTCTGTGAAAGCTGATGAATATATTACCTAAGGGCTTTACTCTTTGGTGACAGAGAATTCACAGCAACATTTTCAAATATTTAAAGGCTACATAAAGTATTTATTGGCAACTGTACAAGAAACAACAGGCATGAACTTTATGTAGCCCTCTCTAGCTAAGGACTCCCACTTTGAAATCCAAATTAGGGAGTACCAGTCATTGCGAACAATTAAGAAAATAATTCACAAACTGAATCTTACCATGAAAATTATTTTGGATTGATTTCTGAATGGAAATATCAATGAGGCTTAGCACAAAACTCAAAGAAGCCAGTCCTTCTTTGTCTCTCTCTCACACAGACACAGAAGTAAGCTTCTCAAGTCCCCCTTTCCAACTAGATTTGTGTATTTTATCAGATGGACTTTCAACTACTTTAACTCCACAGATTTTAGTAGGGCACTGGTAGTTTACCAGAGATATATTCCTGTTTGATGTTTATATGCATGGTATCTATATTATTATTATTATTATTATTATTATTATTATTATTATTATTATTATTTGAAACACAACAAGATAAGTCCACTCTGCTAGCTGTTGAATTGGATCACACATCAGACACTTCCCAAGTGTCTAGGACTGTGTAATGTATCGGCAAATAATGCATGCAGATTCCAGTAAGGTAGCCTTCCGCAGCTGGCAGATTGTAATTTTGCCAGCGCCGATTGTGTTTAAGTACAGGCCAAGTTCTTTAGGCACTGCACCCAGTGTGCCGATCACCACTGGGTGACCACCTTTACTGGTTTGTGCCAGAGTCTTTGGAGTTTGATTTTTAAATCCTCATATCATGTCAGCTTTTCCAGTTGTTTCTCTGCAATTCTGCTGTCACAAGGGATTGCGGCATCAACGATCTATACTTTGTTTTTTAACACGATTGTGAGGTCAGGAGTATTATGCTCCAAAACTCTGTCTGTCTGAATCCTGAAATCCCAGAGGAGTTTGGCGTGTTCATTCTCTGTAACTTTTTCTGGCTTGTGATCCCATCAGTTCTTTGTCGCAGGCAGATGGTATTTGTGGCACAAGTTCCTTATTATTATTATTATTTATTATTATTATTATTATTATTATTATTATTATTATTATTATTATTATTATTTCTTACCTGCCTCTCCTCATGGCTCAAGGCAGGTTACAAATTAGTTAAAACACATCATGGTAAACATTTTATAAAACACACATATCAAAATGTATTTATATACATATTGAAATACACAGAACAAAGATCAAAACACAGGACATGAATTTAAAATTCATGGTTAAATCTGCCTGGGTGTATTCAAGAGTACATATTTTGTTCTGATTTTAAAATAGAAGGAGATTATAGGAATTATTTGAACATTTCTCCAAATACCTTTTCATCTAAAACATTTCTCTTCTCTCTCTTTTTCTGTATAGGCAACATCTGTTGGCAAACAGCTACAAAAACCATTGTTTTCAGCCACCTAAAAGCCATTTTCCAGTCTCCTCTCTATATCACAATTATGTGAGTACTGAATATTGATTTCTTAGGCTGCTCCCAAGGTGAATGATAAGATGAAATCTTCAACTCATAGAGTTGTCCTATTTGAGCCTAGCAAATAATTAGAGCTTGATGGAATATTCTGCTGATGCCTCGAGTTCAATGAAATATGGAATGTTGAGCATCCCAAATAATTCATGTGTGACCTAGGTCTGAAATTCTAGGCTGATTGAAGCAGACTGTGAAGTTTCTCTTATCTACTTTGGGATTCAGGAATTAAATTATTTATTGTCCTACATGTTGCTAGGCATCTGAGGAAGCTGCATGACGCAAGGAGCAAACTCTCCTCATTAAATATCATGTGTTGAGTGCATGTATTTATGTATTACCTCTATCATTTCTGGAGTTGTGCACAAAGAACTTCTCAAAAGTTTCCATGCTTTTTTGGCAAAGAAATTGGAGAGACCATTAACTTAGTGTCTTCAGGCAAAGGGGAAGCTTAACAGTTTTGTAGGGGTATAGCAGCTCACCATTAGAAGTAGAAGTGGAAATAGCCTGGCTTACTTATCCTGTCTCCTTGCCATCCAAGACTGAGTAACAGTTATGTTGGAATCAGGGTGTAGCTATAATGGGAGGGGAAAAGTCAGGATTGTAGCCTCCAAATAAGAATTCTGCACCACAAATGGGTTTTTAATTCAGTCTCTAAATGTCTATCTTTGCAGTAACCTTTAAAAACCCTTCGGTTCACCATCTAGAAAGATAGTGTTGGCATCCAAAGGGGGAAAAGCAGGCAAAATGACCAAGGGAACATCAACACAGTAAATATGGGAGTTCTAGGTATCCATAGTTTTCATTGTCTCATCCCCTGCAATGCTACAAATTTGGATACAGAAGGAAAATGGGATTTTCTCTTCTTCCTTTTTTATTTTCTTCTTAAAGAAAAACAAGTAAGGGTTTAAATGCTGAAACACTGATACAATCTAAGCATAGCTTAAAAGTGCTGCAAAGCCTGCATGGGCGAGGAGAACCCATGCCAATCATTGTAATGCTAAGAGGGGAAGCTTGTGGAAATATTTAACAGACTGGGTGCCACCATTTCTTATCACATGTCTTGATGGCAGAGAAGGACCAACTTACCTTTAGGCAAAATGAGGCAGAAGTTAGCCCCTAGATGCTGCTTCCTGAGCTTTGGGTCCTTTGTATATCTAAGAACTCTGTACTCTTCACAACCAGTCCTGCATCCCTTCCTCTCCTAATTGTCCTGTTGCCCTCAGGTGCAGTGAAGGATCCAATATAGTTGCCAGTGTTGGCAAATAGTTCAATGGTTACTCCAGAACAAGATGGTATTTCCTCTTCATTAGATGTACTGAGGTGAATGATGCAATGGAGAAGGAGGTAGCATCTTGTCATCTGCCTTAGGCAGTAATTTATCTTGGCTTGGTGTTAGCATAGATCATGCCTGCACAACCTGCAGCTCTCCAGCTCTTTTGACCTCCAACATCCAAAATTCCTGGCCATTGGACAAGCTGGCTAGAGCTTCTTGATGTTGAAGGCCAAAATAGCTGGAGGACAACAGGTTGTGCAGGTCTGGCATAGATACTTTGGTGATGATTGAGCATACTGAAATTGATTGAAATTATTGATAATGATTCTGCATATTTTACATATTGGTAAAAAAGCTAATGGCCCAACAAATACCTAGTTTCAAAGCTATATGTTGTGAGCTTCCAGAGCTCTGCTTAGTTGAGAAATGTTCCCACTTCCCAGCACATCTTTGTACACATTATAGGAATTTGAAGAAATTTAATATGCTGATGGCATTTTTTTCACATTTGCTCCTCTACCACATCTCAACTTTCAGTGAGCACTTTCAGTGGTTGCCATGCATTCTTGAGCTACCTGATATAGAATAGGCTCTATTTAACTATACCAAAAACTAAACAATCTGACTAAATTTCTAATTATACAAAATTTGCTGAGAGGTTTTAATCATTGAAAAGTGACATTAAAAATCAACACTTACCCACACTACATTAATAGCTTCTTTTCAATTTCTACATATAAGGAATTTTGATGAACTTGGACTTTGGGGATGGAGTATAATAATACTCTCTTTCACTATACCTTCTCTGCAGAATGGTCCTTCATATGGTGAATTGGTGCAATCACATAAGTAGCCATTAAACTTTTCCACACACTTTCCTCCATTGTGGCAAAGGTTGCCATAGCTACTGCAGTGTCCAGGGCATCCGGGTTTGACTCCAGGAGTCACTTTAGCCCTCTCTTCAATGTCTAGTTTCTGACCATTGAGATGAAGGGCGCGAATACAACCCACAAAACCTCTCTGTCTGGAAGCAGTTGTTCCTGTATGAAAGAGTTTGAAAGAAGAATAAAATATGTAAACTTAAAACCTTTACCAAACCTATTTAAGTTTTTTTTTTCAATATGGGCAGTGAAAAGATAGCTGTGAAGTAAGGCTATATAAATACACAAGGGCACTTGAACTAAGGGAACCTGACCTAGGGATGTAAATCTTCAACTGTTTCAGTCTCACATTCAAAGACAAATATTTTTTCCAGTTTCCTATGTATTGAAGGTGGAAATGAATACTACCATACAGTTTTCAGCTGGTATTTACACAACTTAATCCAGGCAAGAAGAAGGTCAGTCAAAAGGTCGAATGGGGGATAGGGTTACAGCCTGTGTTAAACGGGGTTAGACTCCCCCTGAAGATGCAAATTCACAGTTTGGGAGTGATCCTGGACTCATCCTTGAGCCTGGAACTCCAGGTCTCGGCGGTGGCTGGGAGAGCTTTTGCACAATTAAAACTTGTGTGCCAGCTGCGCCCATTCCTTGGGAAGTCTGACTTGGCCATGCTCTGGTTACATCCTGAATAGACTACTGCAACACTTTATACATGGGGCTGCCTTTGAAGACTTCTCAGAAACTTCAACTAGTCCAACGGTGTGCAGCCAGACTGCTCACTGGAGAGGCATACAGGAGCATACTACTCCGCTGTTACACCAGCTCCACTGGCTGCCGATCAGCTTCCGAGCACAATTCAAAGTGCTGGTTTTAACCTTTAAAGCCCTAAACTGTTCTGGCCCAGATTACTGTCCGAACATATCTCCTGTTATGAACCATCACAAAGCTTAAGATCATCAAAGGAGGCCCTGCTCTTGATCCCACCACTCTCACAAACGTGGTTGGTAGGGACAAGGGACAGGGCCTTCTCAGCAGTGGCCTCCCGTCTGTGGAATTCCTTCCCTAAGGACATCAAGATGGCCACCCCCTCCTGTCCTTTAGAAGACAATTGAAGACTTGGCTTTGGGACCAGGCGTTCATCAAGTGGATAGCGACAATTGGAAGGAAAGTTAGGACATATGTGACATTGGATTTACCTGACTTGTTTTGGTTTTAACTGGCATCTTTTTTTTCTTCGATTTAAATTTTTATTTATTTAGAATAATGGAGAAAGAAAAAGCATTCAAGGTTCCATGTAAAGTGGGGAAACAATTCGGCAATAGAAAGCAGGAAAAAAAGAAACAGAAAAGAGGGAAGGGGGTACCAAAAAGAAATACAAAGAAAAATTGGGAGAAAAAAATGGAAAGGTTCAAAAAAATTAAAAAGAGTAATTGAATAAAATAAAATAAAAATAAAATAAACAAGATGACTTCCATCTAATCCTTTGTGGGTTAACATTTGTTCTGAGCCTGGAACCCCAGGTCTCGGCGGTGGCTGGGAGAGCTTTTGCACAATTAAAACTTGTGTGCCAGCTGCGCCCATTCCTTGGGAAGTCTGACTTGGCCATGCTCTGGTTACATCCTGAATAGACTACTGCAACACTTTATACATGGGGCTGCCTTTGAAGACTTCTCAGAAACTTCAACTAGTCCAACGGTGTGCAGCCAGGCTGCTCACTGGAGAGGCATACAGGGAGCATACTACTCCTTTGTTGCACCAGTTCCACCGGCTGCCGATCAGCTTCCAAGCACAATTCAAAGTGCTGGTTTTAACCTTTAAAGCCCTAAACTGTTCTGGCCCAGATTACTGTCCGAACATATCTCCTGTTATGAACCATCACAAAGCTTAAGATCATCAAAGGAGGCCCTGCTCTTGATCCCACCACTCTCACAAACGTGGTTGGTAGGGACAAGGGACAGGGCCTTCTCAGCAGTGGCCTCCTGTCTGTGGAATTCCTTCCCTAAGGACATCAAGATGGCCACCCCCTCCTGTCCTTTAGAAGACAATTGAAGACTTGGCTTTGGGACCAGGCGTTCATCAAGTGGATAGCGACAATTGGAAGGAAAGTTAGGACATATGTGACATTGGATTTACCTGACTTGTTTTGGTTTTAACTGGCATCTTTTTTTTCTTCGATTTAAATTTTTATTTATTTAGAATAATGGAGAAAGAAAAAGCATTCAAGGTTCCATGTAAAGTGGGGAAACAATTCGGCAATAGAAAGCAGGAAAAAAAGAAACAGAAAAGAGGGAAGGGGGTACCAAAAAGAAATACAAAGAAAAATTGGGAGAAAAAAATGGAAAGGTTCAAAAAAATTAAAAAGAGTAATTGAATAAAATAAAATAAAAATAAAATAAACAAGATGACTTCCATCTAATCCTTTGTGGGTTAACATTTGTTCCAACTGCAATCTTCACAATAGTAGTAATGGAAATGCAAATATAGCTTTGTGTGTGTGTGTGTGTGTGTAAACTATAAAAGGGATATTTTCACTTTGTCCTTCCATTGTATCTATTCTTGGTTTGTTATTCTTAATAATTCTTCTCTTTTCTCTTTTCTTCATATTCCTCAAACTGTGACCAGTTTGTGTATTTAATTGGATTATCCAAGTTTCTCTTTAATAGAAAGGTTAACTTATCCATGTCCTTTATTTCGTTTATTTTGGTCAGCCACTGATTCAAATCTGGTGTTTCCCTCTGCTTCCAGAGTTTCACGCAAATAATCCTTGCAGCTGTCGTCATGAACATAAAGAGGATGTCTTCATTTAAGTCTAGTTTTATATCTATATCCATTAGTCCTAATACATAGTATTCAGGTTTTGGGGGGATTTTTTTTAAAGATTTGTTGGCATTCTTTGTGGATTAATCTCCAATATTTCTGCGCTTCCCTACAAGTCCACTACAAGTGATAGAAGCTTCCTTCATGGTCATTACATTTCCAACAGTTTTTATAAGTATTTTTGTACATTAAGTTTAATTTTTTTGGTGTGATATACCACCGGTGGAACATTTAAAGCCAATTTTCCTTTAAATCCGGTGCATATGTGTAATTTAGCTTTTTGTTCCACATTAGTTTCCAATCTGCTAGTGGTATTGACTTTAGATTCTCCACCCATCTCAGCATGCACTTTTTAACTATTTCTCCCTCTGTGGACACTCTAATAGTTTATCATATATTTTTGTTATACACTTTTTTTCAATTTTTAGGATTTTTCCCCAGAATTCTTCTTTTTTATTAAATCCTAATTTCTTATCTTGATTATAATGTTCTTTGATATGTAAGTAATGCAACCAAGTGATATTAGTAAAGTTTTGTTTTACTTCTTCATGGGATTTCAGTGTTGTTAAGTCTCTTTTCAAGAGGTCCTTATAGGTTGGTTTTAACTGGCATCTTAATTTATTGTTTAACGAAGTTGGTAATGTATCTGTATAATTTGTTTTAATGATTTTTACTGTTTTAATTGTAACCCTAGTTGTTTATATGTTGACAGCATCACATAATGCTTATGTGAGGCCACCCAGAGTCCCCCTTTGGGGGAGAAGGAGGAGATAGAAATGCATATAATAATAAATAATAAATAATTTCAGAAATGCCTGTGGTTATCTTGCAAAAAAATATGTTTTTAGTGGCAATGCATATTATTTTACTACATGGCTCCTTCTCTCTTTTGGAAAATACAAAAAATAAGCAATTTTTGTCCAGAATACTTTTTTTTTTTGAAAGACCTTAGGATGTGTGACTCCTGGTTAAAAATACACAAAATTCTTGTCTTTCAATCTTCCTATTTTAATTTCTTGAATATTGGGGAAACCCATTTTATTTTCAAAGAACAAATGATGATGAATAGTTCTTCAGTTCTAGTGTTGACTGTACTAGAAAGTAGAGTGGTATCATAATCATCTATTAGTTATTGATATTAGTGATTTACACTAGAAAAATAGAGAAAGCTGTCCCTGGGATTTTCTGTTTCAGAAGTGACAACAACTTGGTTTGCTTTGGTTATTGGTGCTATGTCTATCAGCTGTTGCTCCTCCGGGTACCAAATGTCCCATTAGCCTTGCATGAAAGGCACATATCTTGACTTGAAAATCAACATACCATGACAATATAAGTGACCATATCTCCTGGAAGAAAGCCAATGAGTTGAAAGATAGCATGAAAATTCGCTTTGGAGGTCAAATATATTTGTCTGAAAGGTCTGGCAGTTTTAGAATAGTTTCCTACAATCCAAATTAGCAGCAGAAGAGTAGTCTTGAAAGTCTCTACAGTATCTGAAGTAAACTGAAATACCAGCAATATGGATTTAGTAAGACTCACAGCCTAGGTAAAGGTAAAGGTAAAGGTTTTCCCCTGACATGAAGTCCAGTCGTGTCCAACTCTGGGTTGTGGTGCTCATCTCCATTTCTAAGCTGAAGAGCCAGCGTTGTCTGTAGACACCTCCAAGATCATGTGGCCGGCATGACTGCATGGAGCACCGTTACCTTCTTGCTGGAGCAGTACCTATTGATCTACTCACATTTGCATATTTTCGAACTGCTAGGTTGGCAGAACTTGGGGCTGACAGTGGAAGCTCACACTGCTCCCCGGAGTCGAACCTGCGACCTTTTGGTCAACAAGCTCAGCAGCTCAGTGCTTTAACCCACTGCACTACCAGGGGCTCCTCACAGCCTACCCACAGTTAATTATATTCGTCTTTCCATGCTCCACTCCCAGGTGTTGGAATGACTTTCTTGAGATCAGTATTGCCTAAGTCACATCATGTAGGTGTAATCTAGCATATTGTGGAGGGACTAAGTTTAGGGCATCCATTCTATTATAAAGTGTTAGGTTTACACTTTCCAATTCAAAGAGATCTGTGGTAGTAGGCCAGAAATTATGGAATAGTGGTTTTTTAATAGTAAAGAATTCTTGGAGCTACAGAATGAATGGTTCCTCCATGAGCTTCTAATGTCTTTAATAATTCATGCAGGCTACAATCCTGTTGTTTTCTTATGCATGTGTAAGTTCCTCTGTAGAAAGTAGGTGGACATTTTTGTCTGATGCAAAACTGCCCCATTCTGTTCAAGGCTGAAGGAGCTGTACATGTGGTATCATTTGTGCAATACATGGTTACACATGGTATATGCATATGGGCATGAACATTGGAGTCCAGGTCACTAATAAGGTAGTGCCTCACAAATACTGCACAACTCCATATGTGTAAATTGATAACCCATCTCCTCCAAACAGGGTCTTGGTTTCAGATTGTGTTCCAACTTACATAAGTCTGATTGGACACATTTCAATTTGAGTTTTTTTTCTAATGAGGATGAAGGTGTTCTATGGGTGGTATGAAATATGAAAAGGCCCTAATGTCATGGACCAATTATTGCCTTACAGTGTTTAGATTTACTGCAGGAATAGAGAAATGAGGGAGGATGGTGGCTGAATTGGCTCCCCAGGAGTATTTTGAAGGTCTTGTCCTCTACTTCACAGATCACAAAATGGAAAAATAATGCCCTACAATACCCTTTAAAGAGTGGGGCATTTTCACCGTATTCTACCTTTACTTGATGTAGACCTGAATATTGTGATTTTCTAAAAACAAAGGCATTATTGATCTGGTATCTAAAAGAATGATAATCTACGTTACAACAATCACATCTGTAAAATATCAATAAATATTAGCTGGCTGTCCCTACCTACAAATAGCTGACTATTCAGCTGCAGTCGGAAATGCCCTTCAGTAGGTGCTTCCAGGATCTTCTTTGGAAGGTCATCCACCTGAAGAGAAGTTTCTTTGAGATTTCTCTCAGCATGCAAATAGTGCCACTGGTTGTCATTCAGGGGCACTGGAGACTGGACAATTACTTCTACTGGCCCATTGCCAACATCTACTGTGAAGGTGATCTCTTTTGGAGCTGGAAAGAATAAGGTCAGAAATATAAGCGGACTGAGGAAATGTGTTCTCTCCCCCCCTCCCCACCAAACAACAACAATCTGGCATGATTGTTATCTACTATCTGATATGAAATGGTCAGACCTTTGTTAAATCTTTGAACAATTTTTTTCCTGCAGGCCTGATGAAATGGTTCTTTTTTTTTTTTGTTATGCACTTGACTGATTCATGCAACTTACTTTGGCTAACAGAAAAACACTATGGGCTAAATAAGAGAAGGAAAATGTGGGCCACAGAATAAATTCTGGAAGGATTCCATTTACTTAAAAGTTTAAAGATAATGAGATGAGGATATGGCAGCACCGGAAATATGTATGGCAACTGGATAAAGAAAATGTATTACAAGAAGCTGGTCTAGCTAAAGGACCAGTGTATGCAAAGGGGTGAATCCATATCATAGAATTAATATATTTTGACATGATCTAAACTACCATGGCTCAATGCTATGGAAGAATGGGACTTGTATTTTTACAAGGCCTTTAGTCTTCTCTGCCAAAGAGTGCTGGCACCTCAACAGACTACAAAGGATTTCATAGCACTGACCTATGGTAGTTATAGTGATGTCAAAATTAGTTAATGCTACAGTTTAGATGCACCTCAAATTAGTGTAGAAAAAGAAATTAATACGGGATGTGGTTACATATTACAAAAGACAGGCAGTATTACCTTCAGTCTGATATGGCACTGTAAGAACATTACTTTACTGCTGTATGTTGGTTATGAAGACAAATGAAAAAATGTTGTTTGATTTGCACTGCATGAAAAATGTTTTCTAATATTCATGAGATAAAGTGCATCCTGCTACCAAAGCTGCACTTAAGAGTTTATTTCAAAGAAATACAATAAACATCAAAGGGAGGTCTGAATCCTATTAGTTAATTTTAAACAAGATTAGGCACAATGAATCAGTTCTTGGATGATGAGTCAATACATAAGTAAATGTCATTAATTCAATGGCAGTACTCTAGTCTGTGTAGTAATAACAGGACACATGACACTGTATACAATCAAAACACATGTGCTATTTAAAAATATACAGTCATGTGGAAATCTCTCTCATGTAAACTGAAGCTTTTCTGCTGATAGGAAAGACCTTGCCTGGCATTCAGATTTGCATTTATAGAATTTTAATCCAGAATTGTAGACCCATAAGAGCTAGTCAGATTATACAGTCTTGTTGTAAGACTATGTAAATGCAATAGAGGTCCATTTAGGTTATTTGGGCTAAAAGACAAAAACTGCATTTCAAATCCCTTCCCACCAGTAGTTATGATAATCAAAATAGGATCCCTGCCACATGATTCGTTACAAGATTCCCCCCTCCCCCACTGCCATTTCGCCAGCTCCCACAGCAAAATGACAGGGTTGCCCCAAGTGCTGCTTCATTGCAGTGATGCTTCCCCTATCACACAGGCAAGCTCCCATGTTTGGAGGGAAGTTTCCTAGGATGTTTCCACTCCAGTTGTGGGTGGAGCCTCCACCAGAAGTCCAGTAACATCAGGTGATAGGCAGTATGCCCATCCATCAACTGACTAGTGAGGAAATGTCCTAAGACATTAAAAAAAAGCCCTGTGTGATGAAGTGGCCAGTCTTGCTTACTGGTAGGAAGAGATAAAAAAGTAATCCTCCTAATGCCCCAATTATAAGTCAAACTTATCTTCTCTGTTCCTTCTGGGTGGTGGATTTTAAGTTGGGCTAGAGGGTGAATGGACTAGGAGACATTACTTAGCTACAAAAATGTAAGTTAGTAGCCAATATAGAATATTAGTACTTATTTCTTACTGAGACTTTTGATGGTTAACTGTCTGCTGCATAAATTCTTTAACTGTGTGGGTTGTATTTTTATCATTTTAATGTACATTGCAAGCCCTCTTGGGTACCATATTGTGAGAAAGGTGAAAATAAATAAATATTGAAACTATGCAAAATAGTTTAATAAAATTAGATAGATGGATAGATGATAGATAGATGATAGATAGATAGATAGATAGATAGATAGATATAATGTGTACAAAACATGCACATTTTTGTAAAAAAAAATGAGGAAAATGAACAATTTTGTATCCAAGAAGCAAAAAATTATTTTAAAAATACTGGAAAACTGATCCAAATCATGATGGAATGCAATGAAATTGAGACATCTTCGCCTCCTTAGCTATGAAGTGAGATCATGGTGTCAATTCAAAGTAAAAGCAATGTGTCTACTTCCTTTGGAAAAATGCTGAAAGGAAGGAAGATGTTTGTGAAAGATTAATGTGTTTGCAAAAAGTGCAACACATTTTATCCTGGTCCCTGATTCTCTTGATAGATTAATATTAAATTACAGTCTCAAACTGAATTTTATATTTTCAGGGTTATGTCTAACTTGTTGAGACATCATAAGCAATCATTTGGGATGAGAAATTATTCAAAATTAGACAGCTTTCAAATGATGTGAAGGTTTAACATCAGTTCAAATAAACCACATTTGTGCTTTTAAAAATCCCTTCTCAATTCTCCTGTTTTTTTAAAGCTTACTTTTTTAGTTTGACTAAAGCCAGTAAGATCTCTACCTTAGTGATTTAAAGTGAAGGCAACTCAAGCTGCAAAGATTGTTACAATATAATTATATCAGAAATTATTCTGCCATCGAAATCACTACTATGTCAGAACTTTCACAACTCAACTTTGTAAGAAGTAAGCAACACAGGTTATATATTCCTGGTATACTGATCCAAATGAATCAGAGTCATAAAAGGTAAGATGTATTCCAATCAAAAATAGGAAAGTGATCCTTGACTCATTTGGTTCAGGATGGTTATATTGCAGCCAATATAACTGGATTCCATGACATTATTTCCTGTGGCCTCTTCAATTATGTTTTGATTGTTACCTTTTTGTTTTTTGACTAACAAGTTTTTAAAAGATATGCATGGTGTAATGGAAACTAACTGCATGTCTGCTCCCATTTTATACCAGCTGGTTCCTTGGTTTCCTCAAAGTAAAAACTAACACATTTGTCTTGATAGACTGCATTATTTTGTCATCATTTCATATCAAGGCCCCTGAGATGAAATACAGCATACTGAACTGTCAACCAAATAGGACTTTGATGTGCAATTAATACTAAACCATACCTCATTACCTAGTGATAATGCACCACGGCATTTACCATGCGTTTAATGAATCAAACGGCCTTGGGGGCCTTATTTTATTAAATTTTATGTTGAAATTATTACAACCATATTATGAAATGATGACACTTCTTTCCATGTTTGTTCAGCCTGATGGAATCAGGGACAGAAGGACCTCATTTCACTCCAAAGCCACAACATGATCCCACTTTCATTAACAGGATAAGCCAGTAGAATAAAATATGAGTTAAAACTGTCAGTCGGGGTTTCTCTCCTTTAACATGCTGGACAGTAATTGTGAGAGTTGGGCTGTATGTTTGACAAATTGCACACACACACAAATGACACCCTGCATATTGTGGATTTCTCCCTTTCTGTTTTTTTTTTCTTGCATGCCAACCAGTTTTCAATGGCATATTGCCTAAGTTCAAATTACCAAGCAATTACAACATCTAATAGCAAGGGGGTAAGCAATTGGTAACCAATATTATACAACAACTACTAAAAATCAATTTTGTCCTTTGTTCCAAATGGCAAGCAATGATAAGAACAGAACAGAAGCTGGTTCTAAGTTAATAAAATTATCTCCTGTTAGTTGCAGAAATTTTATTTTACTTTATTAAAATATTTATATTTTTCCCTGTACCCATGAGTCTCATTCTAGGGGGAAGAGGGGATATCAAATAGGTAGGTAAGTAGATATCCAAGGAGCTCAGGAGAGGATATAAAAATCAATTTAAATGGATTAAAATGATGAAAAAATATGGAACCATTTAACAAATCAAAACAAGTTAAAATCATGTACATATAAGAAATGTATACAATGAGTAGACCTCTAAAGGCTCCAATAAAAATTAAGCCAAAGGTGGTGACAATTTGGCCCCCAAAGGGAGGACAATCTAACTAGGGCACCACAACAGAGAAGGCTGTCTCCACAATTCTCACAAAATTCATCTCCCTCATTGCTGGGATAGAAACTTTTGAAGTTCTACATATATGTGTATGTAGATATATTAAAATAGATCACCATTGCCACAGTGCATATACCAAATCAACAGATGCTTCCCTGCTCTCTTTTCAGATCTCAGATCTCTAGAATGAATGATATATCAACATGTTTAGTGTGCACACTCACAGCTTATTTCAACTCGAATGAAGTCTTTCATTCCCATATTTTCCAAGAAGACTCCTGACGTTGCTGCAGTTTTGAAGAAGAAGGAAATATCTGCAGTGAACTCCGCATGGAAGGTGGGGAAGAGAAGGTACGAGGCCTCAGTGAGGAACGAAGCTGAGTTCCAGAACTGTCCTGCAAATAGCAACAACCTTCCCTATAGTTAAACCTAAAACAGATAATGAAAGAAGTTCCAAAGGCACATCCTTTTAGCAGCTGACAAAAATAAATCTTGGGATCATGATAGATGGTTTGATGAAAATGTCAGACCAGAGTGTGTGGATGTGAGAGTTATTCATCTACAATTAATATAACTGCACATGCCTACCCAATAGAAGTAACCTGCTGTATTAGTAGGTTTAGTAGAGACATTTTATACATTTTTCCATTTTTTTTTTGTATTACAGGATTTTGTGTACAAGATATTTATGCATGAAACCAAGAGGTTTCATGCATAAACATCTTTAAAACATAAATATTTTGCATAAAATATTAGAGAAAGCATCTGAAATGCAGACTAGTTTTCAATAGATGAAGATACTCCTTCCCATCCAAGATTAGAAAAGTGAAACTACCTACAGTGGGCATTGTTTTTTTTTTTTAAGGAAAACTGGGATTCGCCAGATAGGAATCAGAAATAAAATGACCTGTTATATTCGTTAATCTTTTCGGAAATCTATGGTGACCTCACTTGAATGGCTGTGTACAATTCTAGTCACAACGCTCTCAAATATATACTATATTATTATCATAGAGAGCATAAAGGTATGCACAGTCCAGAGAGAAATATATATTTTTTGTAATACTGGAACTCAGGGTAATCTCATGAAGCACAATGGTGGGTGATCCAGAATAGATAAAAGAAAATGCATCACACTGTGCTTAGTTGGATAGTAAAAAGCACTTCCATTACATACATTGCTGACTATGAATTCGACACATTTGGATGCTAATGCTGGAGAAGCATCTACACTGTAAGATAAATGCAGGTGCACATCACTTTAACTGCCATGGCTCAGTGTTATGGAATCTTAGGATTTGTAGTTTGACCACATAAAATTACATCTCCCATGGCTCCACAGCATTTTTTTTTTAAAAAAACTGCTTCTTTAAAAATGTCCAGAAACAAATCAGATACAGAGGTGATATTAAGAAGCTTGCATTCAGGAGAACAAGCAGAAGCTACAGAGGGACGAATGTGTGTGTCTACACACATCGTTCTCATTCAGTCTGTGCAAAGGGGATTGGAAAAGCGCTGATACTTACTATCTCCATAGCAACGCAAAGGCCCAATTCTCCAGGCAGCTTCAGAATTAGGTCTGTTTGTATCAGTGATGACAATCTGGTTTACAGGCAAGTGTTCTTTGAAGGAAAGGAAGCCAGTATCATTGGTCCTGGACACACAGAGAAAATAGCCATGGATTAACACTTTAAACATCATACATTTACCTTTGTATTGCCAAAAAAAAACACCCCACCAGATAATATTTATTATATTATTATATCAGTTCCTTAAACTGTGACCAGTGGAGCCACAGTTCTTGTGGGTAAGAAGCATGTTGCTTATTTATTTTGAACACCTTAGAACCTCGGATCCGGTCTTGTCCCATCTTTTTAAATATAGGATGTATATTTGATTGCCAGGGATCCACTTCTGAAAACAAATTAACAAACAACTTTGCTTAGTGGACACATGCCACATTTTTCATTGGGGAAAGAAAGAAAGAAAGAAAGAAAGAAAGAAAGAAAGAAAGAAAGAAAGAAAGAAGGAAATAGTATCCTTTTGGCTATTTGAATTCCAATCTGGTTTTGGATTTGAAGATACATACAAACACTGACATGGTTCTGAGAGACAACTCAGGGTATATCCTTCTTTTAAATACTGCAGTATGCATATTATAGTGTGGATCATCTTCCAGGGCAACTCAGGCTATGTCTAAGAATCATCTATACTGTGGAATGAATGCACATTGACATCACTTTAACTGCAATGGCTCAAGGCTATGGAAACCTGGGATTTATAGTTTGGTGAGGCACCAACACCTTTTGACAGAAACGACTAAAGACTTTGCAAAGCTCCTAGGATTCCATAACAATGAGCCATGGGAGTTAAAGTGGTGTCATCCTGCATTAATCCAACAGTTTAGATGTACCCTAATTAATTCAATAAAAAATCACAAGGCATTAAAGCATAAGCACCATGATCTGTGACTGTCCCCACACTTCTTTTCTTTGAAAAGGATGGCAATGCAGTCATGAATCATCCTTGGTCATGGAGCTTCATTAGCTGCTTTTGATGCCCTGGGGATGAAATTCCAGGATCACAAGGAAACAGTGAAGTTCACTCTAGCTGTGGAAATTGGAGGAGCTGCAGTAATCTGTGGCAGCTTATTCTTATAAATCACTGTCTCCATACAATCTCACATAGGAAAGGAAATCCTGAAGGCAATGCTGTATCATTTTACATACCAAGTATGTACCAGCATGATGCTCAAAAGTCAGAAGACTTGTACACATGTAGATACAAATATATCCATTCTGATAGTATGGGATCAATATATAAGAACAGAAATAGAAAATAAAATCCAGTACCATTATCAGGAACAACATGCCATTTGGGTGATGATGCCACAAGTTATTATGTCTCTTGTTAAGAATTAGTCTGATATATATTGTGGACTGAAGAGAGTGGTCAATTGTGCATAGATAAAAAAAATCAAGAGACCTACCTCTTCACATGGCACTTTCTAGCTGTGCAGTTATACCGCAAAAGGGAAGGTGCACAGGACAGCTTGTGGAGCCCTGCGTGTCCTCCCTCCTCCTCTCATCACATGGTGGGGTTGTTCTCCCTACATCAGTTCGCAGAAAGGGCTGCAACATGCATTGCTCCATCACCCTTTCTGCCATCATACAGCAAAAAAGGGAAGAAAGTGCAGGTAGTTCTATCGGAGCTACCCAAACAACACTTTCTTCCCCAGTTTTGGAGGAATGTGGGTGAGGCCTACTGTGTGTTGTATGATGGTGTACAGCAGGCCCTATCCAAGCCGTGCATAAAAGCAGCAAAATAGGGCAAAATGCCCCATCTGAAGAGGTCCATAGACAAGTTGAAGGAAAACATTTGATAATAACTCTATCCTTGCAGCAAACCTGATTTCTGCACTGATTCTGAGATCAGCTATAGATTGAATGAATCACTCATGCCAAATTAAACAAGTAACAGTTTGCTGCCCTTCCACGAGACCTTCCTCATCAATAGTAGGGTCTGTTTTGTTGGTGTTACTGAAATAGTGGTAACATAACTGGTGTGTAACATATCTGAGAATCATAATGCTCTTCATATGTATATATCTAAACACTTTCCAGAGACATAAACAGTGAAACTAATGCAGACTTCAATCCACAGCCTTTAACATGCTGTAGCAGCTGAATCTTTCAAATGGTTTTCAAGGGTAGCCAAGAGATTAGTCCAACTTTGAAGATTGCTGATGTAGGACCTGTCTATGAAATCAATTGCAGCGTGTCCAAATAGCATATTCTGTACACAGTGCTTGAGGAATATATTTCTGTCGCACGTAATAGCATATCCACATATAATAATAAATGACCAATGGGAAATAAATGCAGTAGGTAGTTTTGCTAGTCATCACTTTTATAAATATCTATATACTTGGAGGAATCTATGCACTTGCACTGCACATTCCACAGCATGAACAAGAAGTGCTTATTATTTCAATAAAATATATACATAATAAAAATAAAACATCAACATGGGGCTAATAAGGTAATGTTGTGGACCTTGATGCTGGACTTTGATGTTGACAAAATGTCTGTGATGTTTGAGGACTGCAAGGTTGCAAGGGGCATAGTTCAGAAAATATTTTTTTCCAAGCTCTGCTTCCAAAAAAATAGTTTGCAATGCAGTGAACTGAATAATTAGTCAATGATAACTTTGTAATGATAAAGTGGATTGAGAAGAAATCACAGCCCAATAAATGTAACAGTTCCCCAAGTACAATAAATATATATTTCTGTTACAAGGCTGCAGCCTTGAGTAAATATGAGAATAGTATGGTATGGAAGAGAGAAACAAATGTGACATTATTATACAGTAAACTATTTATGGGGAAA